AATCAAATTGCTCATGAGAAGGTGCATGTAATGGAAGAAGAAAATTCAAGTAAAACTTCCAAGAAAAGAAAGCAAGATTTTGAAAAATCTTATGAAAATCATAATGTTAATAGCAATAATAACAATAGAAAGAAAAAGAAAGGAAATTGCTATCATTGTAGAAAACCATGACACTTTAAAAATGAGTGCATGTTCTTGAAAAGAGAGAACAAAAATAAGAATTCAAGTACAACAAAAGACAACCTTGTTGCTGTCTCTGAAATCAACATGATAAAAGATATTGATTCTTGGTGGATAGACTCTGGTGCTACCCGTCATGTGTGTAAAAGTAAAAAATTATTCAAGACCATCAATGAAGAAAATGGTAATGTTTTGTACATAGTAAATGTCTCTACTGTTCAAGTCAAAGGAAAATGATCAGTCGAGATTGAATTCACCTATGAAAAAATACTCGCTCTTCAAGATGTTCTTTATGTTCCAGAAATTAGAAAGAACTTAACTTATGTACATTTACTTAATAAGTATGGTTTCAAATATGTATTTGAGGGAGATAAATTTATTCTATCCAAATGGGACATGTTTGTAGAGAAGGGTTATTTTTGTGAGAATATGTTCATGTGTAATGTTGTTAATAATAATAATAATAATAATATAAACTTTTCATCTTTGTAATGTGTTCATATAAAGTGGCTTTTCTTTGGATTTCTCTTAGTTTTCTTGTATGACCCTTATATTCTTATTTACACATTCTTAGTTTATAGCATATTTGCTTGATTTGCTTGCTTAGGCGTTAGAAAGCATCGACACAGATGCATGTAGACAAATATTAAAATGAAACTCTTTAATGATTCGGGTCGACCAATGTAAACTTTGCACAATCCAATCCATCTTGAATGGTATTCATTTTGGCGTGGTAAATTAGAATTTTAAAATGGAGTGGTAAATTTAAAAGCTTTTTGAGAAACTCACGCCAATCTTAAGTGTATTTCGAACAATTGGAATGTTTTGAGTGATTTTAACTTTTGGTAACATGGGTAACCTTTTTTCTCTAAATCATTATTTTTCTTAATAAATAATTTATTTAATTAAATACACGAAAGTTACAAAGTTAACATAAAAATAAAATCACTCAATCCCTCCATAGTTTGCAAAGCTAGACTCGATACTATTTATTTTACCTTAATTACAATTTTGGTCTTTTTATTTTATCTGGATTATGAAATTAATTCTTCTATTTTAAAATTAAACTATTTTAATTCTTTTACATTTTTATACTCAAAATTAACAATTTATACATTTTTTAATAATGTATTTTAATTATATAGAATTTTTTTTGTGAAACACACTATAAATAAAAAAATATAATTTAAGAAATGGACACTTTCATCCATTAAAAAAGTGAGGGATCAAAACTATTTGATTTTATGAGATCAAAATTATAACTTAATCTTATATTTTTATTATTTTAAATTTTAAAAAATTAATCAAAAATAAGCCATTGTAAAAAAATTCAACCAATAGTAGTTTCTTGATTTAAAAAAATATTATCTCCGCAACTAGATTTTGCAATTTTTAGATATAATTCAAAAATTAGAGATACATTTGTTTGCATTTTTATATTAATATATAAAATTAGATATAGAACTTTTTTTTAAATAAAAGAATCTTTATTAAATTTCAAAAAATAATGCAAAGCAAAGGGATCAAACATCCAACCAAACCAAGGACAACAAGCACACTTAAGGCAACATATGATGGCTAATATGTTTTCTAAATTTAGGTCTAGCCCAACATCTACAGACTATACAATCAATAAATTTTTTGATCAACATTGATATTGTTAGTTTTCCTACCAAATCGATGATGATTCCTCAATCTCCACAATTCATAAATTACCTCTGCGAACGCACAATTCAGAATTTTGGATTTCCAACTCTTTCCTTTGCTAAACCCCAACATCCAATGAAATTCATCCTCCCTTTTTTTTTTGTCTGTGATCTATATGTGACCTCATATAGATCCTCCCATTGGAGAACATGGTTCCAAATGTTCTTTGTAATCCTGCAGTTGAATAAAAGGTAATTTAACGATTCAACCTCATTACAAAAGCAACAACGGGTATCCTCGATTAAGTCAATCTTATGGAGTCTCTCCTTTGTGGCCAACCTCCCATTACAAGCTAGCCAAAGAATGAAAAGGGATCTCAGCCGAGCTAGATTATCAAACCAAATTTTCCTCCAATCCACTGTCTCTCACACCTTTTATGAGTTGATAGAATTGCCTAACATAAGCTTTTTGGTTATGCAGAAGACAAGTCCAAGCATGAGTGTCAGAGATCATTTGCCTTTGTTTTAAAATAGCCTTGAAAATTCAAGACTAATTAGTCTTAGCCGTGACTTCCGAAATTTCCTTTTCTTTCATATAGTAGCAATGAATCCACCTTATCCATAAGTTATCTCTTTTCTTACTAATATTCTAAAGGAGCTTAAGCAGGTTAGCAGCTTTCAATCCTTCATATCAACTGAATTTAGACCACCTTGATTTTTGCTGGTGCGGACCTTTTTCTAGGAAATGGGAGCTTTTTTGGATATATCCCACTACCAGCCCAAATAAACGAGCGACATCTAGCATCAATTTAATTGATCACTTTCTTACGGAGAGGAATCACTTGCATCCAGAAATTGGAAATAGCAAAAAGAGTACTCTTAATTAACTGCAATCTACCTGCAAAACTCAACATATGAGAGGACCAATGGTTGATGCGCGCTGTGAGTTTTTCCACCAGGATGTTACATTGAGAAACAGAAAGTTTCTTGCTAGAAAAAGGAATGCCCAGATATCGAAAAGGAAAATTACCTTCCTTAAAACCAGTGATCCTAAGGATATCAGCTTTAATACTTTCATATGTATTACCAAAGTAGATATTACACATCTTGAATGATAATTGAAATTAGGATGTTTTAGAGCTTTTAAAAAGATCTATGAAGATACTCCACGATTATAGCAAATAGAAAGGAGATAGAGGATCTCCTTGCCTAAGCCCCCTTTTAGATTTTAACACTGTGGATTGCTCTCCATTGATGCTATACTTGTAAGAAACAGAATTGATAGTTAGGATAACCGATCTGATGAATTTATAAGGGAAGCCAAGCTCCTGCAGGATAACACTTAAAGAATTCCAATCCACCGAGTCGTAAGCCTTCTAGATGTCCATTTGGATAGTACATCTAGAGGGACCACCTTTAGAGCTGTAGTCTTTCATCAATTCATAAGCTAATAAAACATGATCTTGGAGGTGATGCCCTGGCACAAAAGTTTCCTGACTATGGTCCACTATACTCCTAAGGACAGCATCCATGATATTATCATGAATCCTTTTCTATAGACACTAGAGGATCATCCAAAATCCCTAGTGTCTCAAACCCATTCTGATAGAAAATTTCAGATGTGAAGATTCTTGTTCCAAGCTTTTCTTTGCCTTTTCTATTGTTGCCAACTTCAGTCCAGGATGTTGAGCCAGTCTCTTGGCTATCCTAAGGAGCTTCTTGTGTCACATTTTTTTGTTCCTCTTGCACCTTTTCTTTCTCCTTCCATTATTTGACCTCTTTACTCTTCTCAATATTACACCGATGCCCAATCTTCAGACACTTTTCACAAAACAGAGGTTTTCATTAATATTCTACTTTTTGTTGAATTTTGTTTCCCTCATGGTCCTTGATACTGATGCTCTCCATTTGCTTCTGTGTAATATCAAGTTCCACCAATATTATAGCATATGATATTCTCAATTTATTAGTTGTGCATTCATCAGTAAACAATGGATTAAATATAGCACTTCCTATTTTCCCCAAAATTTTGGCTCCCCAAAGGTGAAGAGGAACTTGTGATAACTTTACCCAGATTGGAAGAGTTCTTGACATATCTCTCTGAAAATCAAATTCTGGTCTCCAAAATTGTATAAGGCCCTCTCATTTACACCATTTCCTTGTCAGCAAAGGATTTGAAACGCGTGATGAAGTACCCTTCTTCGTGATAGAACATCTCCAGCAGCTTGATGAAATTCCAATATCTTGTCGTAAATTGCTCTACTGCATTCATGCTTAAATCCTTTCCAAGCACATACATTATTAGCGAAGCTTCCCAATATTTCATTTCGGTTTCCACATCTTCCTCCTCAATTTCAACTTCCATTTCAAGCTTCAATTTTAGTATATTGCCATAATAGTCATCCGATTAGGTGTAAGCCACATTTTTTAATTTATAGTTTATAAATTTTATGACAATTAAACCACATTTTTGAATTTATAGTTCTATTTGGTAAGTCATATTTTTGAATTTATAATTTACAAATTCATATGACAATTTAAATTTATTTAATAATAACTCTTGCATTATGGCTTATAACTTATTTTACTAATTTATAACTTATTTTTTAAATGTTATTTCAAATAGCATTTTAACTTATAAAGTATTACTTTTTCTTTTTCTTTCATTTTCAGGCTTATTATTTTAATAAAAATTCTCTATTATCCTTTATAATTTATTTTAATTTAAAACAATTAATTTATTAAATGCTTTTATATTATTTTACATTTATAAGTTATAAACTTCAATCATCTACCATTAGCCATCATCCATAAGCTACCTTTTCAATCATCCACTATTTTTTACCAAACACAGCCTTAGAGTTTAGTCATTTAACAACTTTTTGTTATGAATAAAGCATCTTCTGTAATTCTTGGAGTTGAATAAGACCATATGAAAGTCAAGGTTTTAGTTCTCAAGTGTTCTTGGCAAAGTGATATTATGTGATATTAACAAACCTTAAAATCAGTATGCTATCAATATTGATGTCAAAAATAGATGATATTGGAGAAAAATCAGATAAAAAGCTTACATAACTTGTAAAAATAGTATCCATACCAATGAAGACATTTAAGCTACAAATTCAAAAAACACTCAACAAAATCTAAAAATCAGATAAAAATTGTATGATCTGACTAAATTGCTTGGGACTTGTTAAGGATCACACCTTCATATTTCACTTGAAACCATTTCATCGAATCCTCCTTTGTGACGCGGTGCTGGATTCCAACACGTGCCTTGCAACGGCGACGGCGTCCAACACGGTAACCAGGGCGCTCCAACACAACAAAGAAATCCATCCCATAAATGCCCGTAGAAGGATCATACCTGAAAAGGCCAATTAGTTAAGTTTCATCATAATATCAGAATATACAACCTATAATGGTTTTTTCAGCTTACTTGATTCCCAAGTCAATGTGTTCTTGAATACCAAAGCCAAAACAACCGGTATCACTGAAATTTCTCCTCAAAAGTTCATATTCCTTGACCTTCAATCCACTCTCCAAAAGCTGCATTGCCTTGTCGCCTCTAACAGTGACGTAGCAAGCAATCTTTTCATTCCTTCTAATACCGAAGGAACGAACGGTGTACCTAGCTGTCAATAACCACGCGAGAAAAAGAAGAACCAATCAGCGCACAAGACAACCCAAACATCCGACCCGAGTTTAAACAATGTCATGTATTCACAATTGCCATAGATAAGCCAGAATCCTCGCACAAACACTAGAAATAAATTTAAGAAAACTCAAAAGTATGGCTAGATTTTCATTTCTCACCGGCAAAGACACAATACTAACACAAACACTATAAATAATAAAATAAAATTGTGATGATGGAGTGTAACCACATGAATCAGTGGCATACATGTGTCAAACACAGAAAAAGAGAAACCATTAAATGAAATAAATAAAAAGTACCTTTGGAGAAAACAGGGGTTTGACCACTAAGCTGTTCGAGAACCTACGAAAAAGAGAAACCATGCGGTTACAAACTTGAAAGTTGTAACCTGAAAGAAATGAATTGAGAGACTGTACAAATGACAATGAAAAAAATACCTTTGCAGCTCTGGTAAGCCGATCTCCACTTTCACCAACAGAGATGTTGAGGACAAGTTTCTGCACTTTGATATCCCGCATTGGATTAGCCAGTTTCTTCTCCAAAGCCTGTCATAAACATTTTCCGTCAATTTTATAACCGCATAGTCATATACATAGACTTGCATATTCAACCATCAAAAGTATCTTAAACCAAATTGATAAATGTTAATGAACACAATAGATACCAAATCAGATTAGCTACTTCTTGATATCAGCTTTTTTAAATAAACAACTTATAAATAAGCTATTTTATACCAAAGATGAAATAAAGTCCCACTATTGTTATATAAACTATAATCTATTTTAATGAACTATCTTAGAGACCTTACAGAAATAAGCTAAAAACAGCTTATAAAAATGGCATAAACTGTTTTTATAAAATTTCTCAAACAATACCATAAGTAAATCAATCAAAGTAAGGAAAAACAAAAATTCATTTACAATTTAAAATTAACATTATATCAAAAATCCAAAACTGTAATGCAACAATGTTATTTATCAATCTAAAAAAACATGAAGCAAATCACACATAAAATGGATCATAGAAGTTCGAACCCTAGAATATTAAATCCAAAACTGTAATGCAACAATGTTATTTATCAATCTAAAAAAACATGAAGCAAATCACACATAAAATGGATCATAGAAGTTCGAACCCTAGAATATTATTTTATTGCATAAATTCAATAAAATAGAAACAGTGGAAGGATGAAAATAGAGATTTGAATTTACCATTTGGAATATGGAAATTGGAATTCTTGTGGCGCGAGTGGTGGAAGAGTGAGGCGGTAACACTCGCTCACTGATATCAACCTTGGATCGACAATGGATATTAGGGTTTTTAAGCTTTCTAAACGGTTTGAAATGACAACTATACCCTCTGCTTCATTGTTTATTATTTTAATTTTTCACTGAAATACATATTTTTTATAAAAAAACTGAAAATGCACTTATAAATATTTTTATAAATATTTTGTACTGCAATCTATTAAAAGGTTCACCCGCCACATTATAGACTGAAATTTTATTGGCCGATTGTATGTCTATTAAACTTTTTTTTATAAAGAACATAAACGAAATAAAAATTATAGTACTTCTTCTGTTTTAAAATGGCTGTCGTTTTTAAAAAAAAATTGTTTTAAAATAAATGTCATTTTCACTTTTCAATGTAGTAATAATTGTTATTTTTTCAATTGTGTCATATAATTATTATTCTTTACACTATTTTCAATACATTAATAAGACTAATTTAATAAAAGTGTAATATTTTATGACAATATCTTTACATTTTTTAATCTGTGTGAAAAAACCTTAAACGACAATTATTTTGAAGCGGAGGGAGTAATAAATATCTCTATTTTATTTTTTTTTATTTTAAAATACAAAAAGATTTAAGTTTAGAGAAATAATTTATGGTGAAAGAGTACTTATTTTAAAGTAGATATTAAAACCTAAAATGCAGGGAGGGATGAGTTTGCAGGAATTTGTGTGGAGATTGACCTAACCTTGTTAGTTGTCGGAAAGGTCAATGTTAAGAGTAGTGTTATTTAATACGAAACAATTTGAAAAAGAAATGCAAAAATGCACACATGTCATTGTTTTAAAGGTGAATTTTAAATTAATTTTAAACTTAAATTCCTTTTTAATAGAGAACATGGAATAATGGTCATTGGTATAATGTGTTGTATGAAGGTCTTCACATTATTGGCTCTAGTTGTGGTTGTTATGAACATCGCACTCGTAATTGCAAGAAACATCATATAAGATGACGCAGTTGACCATTCCTACAATGGCGCAACCAAGAGGTCCATTAGAAAACGATGTGTCCATGAGCAAAGAAAAATAGAACTACATTAGTAAGTGGGCGAAGATAGCGTCGAAATTGTAGCAAAAGAATCTGGAGAAGTAAATGCAGTATCATGGTGATTGGCTGGTCGTGCAGAGGAAAGATGCAACAAAATAGATAGTTACGGTCAAGGGAAATTTTTATCCAATAATGCGCTTAGTGGTCTAAGGAGTTTTAAAATCAAGGGGATGATGTTTCCTTAAAATGAATAAGCGCTGACAACAAAACTGTTCGACCTGATCAAAATTCAAAAGCCCGTTGAATCCTTGAACTACCAGATATCATTTGGTTCATTTTGTGAGAACCCATAACTCACGTTTTCAGTACGTGAGAACCTGTAACCTACTTTTGTTGTTCTATGAGAAGGTAGAACCCATTTCATTCTCGTTGCGTGAGAATTTGTAACTTATCTTTTTTCATTATGTGAGAAAGCCAAAAACTTTCACTTTCGTTACGTGAGAGTTTGTAAATTGTCATCTCTGTTTTATGAGAAAATGGAATCCAATTACTTTTGTTACGTGAGAATCCATAACTTACCTATCTTTTTCGTTCTGTGAGAAGCCATGACATTTCCTTTTATTGCGTAAGAATCTATAACTTACCTATCTTTTTTTGTTATGCGAGAAGCCATAACTTTTCCTTTTGTTATGTGAGAATCTGTAACTAACCTATCTTTTTAGTTATGTGAGAAGAGAGAACATTTCCTTTTATTACGTGATCTGTAACTTGTCATCTCTGTTTTGTGAGAAAACGAAACCCCTTTACTCTTTGTTACGTGAGAATCTATAACTTACTTTTTTTCGTTATGTAAGAAGCCAAAACCTTTTATTTTGGTTATGTGAATATGTAACTTACCTTTTCTCATTTTGTGAGAAGATGGAACCTTTCACTTTTGTTACATGAGAATTCGTAACTTACCATTTTGTTTTGTGAGAATCCATAACACATCATCTTTGTTACGTGAGAATCTGTAACTTCTTATTTTCATTACTTTGAATTTTCAAAACATATCTTTGTTTTTTTACCTAGTGACTCTTTTCGCTTACGTCATTTGATCCCCAACAAACCTCCTTTACCACTCATCTTAGCAATCTACAAAGAGCCTGCTTTTGCATTTTCATATCCTCAACAAGAAAAATCTTCCATAAATCATAACATGACATTTCATATCATTCCATTTCATTCCTACAAGAGACAAAATTTGGGTCTTTTAGTATTTAACTATCTTTCACCGCGATTATATGAAGATTGTCATTCTTCATATATTCTTATCAAATATACTTAAATATGGGAAGTTTTCATACTCTAATTTTCCCCCTAAGACATTTATACATTTTTTGCTTTCATTTTAAATAGTTGCATTTTAACTGCACTCGGCATCTTTTTACTTCAATGTGGTTCATTGTATAACAAAGAGAGATAACATTTTGTTTCAAACTAAACATTTGGTTTTCACTCTCATTTGTTTGTGACTAGTTGCAAGTGTTAAAAAATTTATGACCTAAACAGCATCACGTTTCCTTCTATCAAAATCATTCCTTTATTTTTCAACTTAGTTGCTCATTTCAAATTGAAGTCAACTAAGTCAAGGCAAATTTAGGTTTTTTATGAGAAAGTTAATAAGGAGTGGGATTGATAGTTCTTTTTTTGCCAAATAAGTCATTAATTTTGAGTTTGAATTGATTCTCTTTCATTTGCATCATAATTTGATTTGTATTCTTTCAAGGCAAAGATAAGGACATATTGAGTGAGACCTATAATTGAGCTTGTTATGCTTCACACTTAAGACAAGTCTAATTATAGATCAAATTTTAATTTCATACCAAAATTTCCTTTATATTTGGCTAGAAGGAAGAAATTCAAATTTCATTCTCATCATTCAAATAAAAACTTTAGACCCAAAATCCATAGGGTGACATAGAAGTCGAAATTGTAAAGTTTAAAATTGAATCAAAATTGCATCCATACACTACATAGTTCAAATTTTCCATTTAAACTATTTTTGAAACCAAGTTTCAATTCCCATTTCAAATTATATATCACACAAGCTTCTTTCCTATTCAAAAAATCAAAGACCTTTAGATATCATATCATGACCAATTTCAATATACCAAAGTGGACTTGGATTAATTTTTTTGAGAAATATTTCCACTTGTACAAGCATACATCATTTTCAATCTTTTCACAATTTTAATTGAGCCATTTTCTTTTCTAGTCCAATACAATTTACATGTATATGTCATACAGGATTGTTAGAGCAAAATAATTTGAACACAAAAACACTTTGAATTTCATTAAGAGTGTTATTACAATTATTATACCAAAAACTTACGGTACTGAAATATAAGAACTTACAACCATTTACAAATTTTGCACATGGCCTTGCAAAAAAAATCACCCCATAAGCTCCTCATTTAAATCCTACAAGATCAGAGGCAATTCTACTACACCTCATTCTTATCCACTCAAACAAAATTCTCATTCCTTCTCACGCACCTCACACCATTCCAACAGATTTCTTCTCTTCACACGTACCTCTCACACACTTGCAACCGCGACCTATATAATTAACTCTAATCTTCACTCATATCCATAAAAGAAAAACCCTAGAAAATTCTAAGAAGCAGCATTTGATAACCAATTGAATCCTTTGCAACTTTCCAAATCAGTATCATAGCTTTACCTTTGAATCAACTAGAGTTTCATATTGAAACTCTAACTTGATCGAGCTTATCCCCCGTTGATCATTGCAACACAAAAAGGAAGAAGAATAACGAGTCAAGAAAGATAATAAGAAGAAAAAAAGAAGAAAAAGAGAGTTAGAAGTGGATGAATCAAATACCTTATTACTAAAGCTCTCGTTCTTCATTTTTGGTAGACTTTGGGTTCTCTTCATTGTGTTTCTTGATTTAACATTGTTTTACGCTCTATTTGTTTTTTCTTTTTCTTTTTCTTTTTCATTGTTGTAATTATAATGTGATTAAGATACTAAAATGTGGTTGTTGGGGGGGGGGGGGGGTATTTTTTTTGTTCGTGTGGTTTGATATATGTTTATATGTTTGAATTTTGGTACTTGTTTCTAGGGATGGAAATATGGCACATCCCTAGTGGGTACCTACAAAAATACCCACAACTAGTAGGGTAAAAACCCACAAAAATGGGTATGGGCACAAGCTCAAGTAATTACCCACTTAAATAAGCGGGGATAAGTGCAGGTATGAGCATCTTAGTACCCACCCCGCCCCATACCCGCACAATATATATTTATATATTTTAATGTATATTATTATATAAAAATAAATGTCTATCAATTTTTAAAACTACATCAATTTTAAACTACTACATATTTAATATAACTGATCTTTTATTTCATAATCCAACAATAAATTTTCTTTAAAACTTTTTAATGTTGTTAAAAACTTAAAATAATATGATACTTTATACTTGATATATTTATTTTTATAAAAAATGCGGGTAACGAATACGGGTACGGGCACTTACATACCCATAGAATACGGGTATGAGTGCCAATGTTGATATCCAAGTGGATATGAGCTCGGTTACATTGATCTTTTCCAATCGCGAGTATGAGGATGGTACTATAGTACCTTAACCAAACCCTACACATTTCCATCCCAACTTGTTTCGTGCTCAGAGAGAGATTTGAGTAAGGATCGTTGTAGATTATTTTAGATTTTGTGAGTTTTACATTTTAAGGTTAGGTTTTAGGTAAGTTCAATTTGAGACTTTTTTGTGTTTGTTTTTTAGAATCGTGGCCGAATTTGAGATAGGGGGAGGAAATTACCAAGGGTTGATGTTTTTATTTGGGAACTGGGTGTTTTTGGAAAAATTTGGAAAAAAAGGTAAAGAACATTCATCATGTTCTTCT